CCCCAAAACCCCAAAACCCCAAAACCCCTAACAATTGGGATATAGTTGAGCCAATATAATAATATTAGTTTTGCCAAAATGGATAGATCAGGTCAAGCCGTGTGAAAAGGTGAGGAGGAGGGGTTAAGGGAGTTTGGGGTGGGTTTTAAGGGTGGAGGCTGGGAATAAGGCACTGAAGGGGTGGTAGTAGAGGCGGTGGGTATGGTGGAGGGAGACTTGAGAGGTGTAATTTTGGAAGTGAGGAAAGACCTGTGATTAGAAAATTTATGAGAAATAGCTAAATGTTTAAAGTGAGTAGATTGTTCGGAAGATTTTTAAGAAATATTGGATTATTTGTTTGTGAATTTTGGTGTTTAATAATTTATTGGTTAATCTAGTTTTAAAGACAAAGAATGAACTTTATTTTATTTTTATGTTAGCAATTTATTGAGGAATTCTAACTATTAAAAACAATTTTGTCTAACATAATAAATATAGTTGAAATAACAATATCTAGAAAAGAAAAGCAATTTGATAAAGAAATATTTAAATTAGTCCGAAGAGATACTTATCATTACTCAAGATTCTCGAGCAATTCAGCATCTTTTATAATAAATCTAATTATACCAAGTGCAAATAAATTTATAAAGAAAATGAAATATACTGCACTGCCAGAATTAAACAAGTTCAGTCTCCACTGCTTTCCCCCAAGAAATAAGACAACTGATAGTTTCATATCAAATTGATTTCCTAGATCAGTCAAGTGTATGGTTGCTGAACAAGAATTTATTTTGAAGCCAATTAGAGGATATTTTACAGAATTGATCAGAGTTGCTCCGAAAGTTCAACAGGAAGTATCATTCAGATACTTTACCATTAATGACAGAGAATTCAAAAGAATCATTTCTGCTGTGAGACATGTGAGAAAAGTCTTTTTTGCATGGTGTGAGATTTCTGTTACTAAAGTCCCTGACTTTTCATTTACATTAGACAAAACTAGACTTGAAGAGCTTTCAATGCAGAATTGCAGCTATGGTCATAATAGCAATTTGAAACAAAACTCCAAAGAATTTAAAAATCTTATTCAAGGATTAGGCACCTCTCAAGATCTCAAACAAAGCCTAAAATTAATGAACATCAAATCCCAAATGTTAGAAATAGGAGACATAAGAAACACCCTAAATGAAAATGGGCTTGAAGGGGTCAGACTTTCATTGTAATTGATGAAAAATATAAAACTCATACTCTTTTTGATCATTCATTTCAATTTAAGATTCCTTTCTCGGGGTTTTGGGGTTTTGGGGTTTTGGGGTTTTGGGGTTTTGGGG